CCACGCCCTCCAAATCGCCCCGGGGCCGTGGTAATCTGACACCGGTGGAGGTGCCACCACCGGTGACAAAGCGGCACCCCCGCCGGCGACGGCGTCCAATTTCAATGGCCGAGGTGGGCTGGACCAGAGTGGCTGGGAGCTGGACGGCGGTGGCTGGGGCGACGGGGAGGGAAAGGGAGTGGTTCGGAGGTGCGGGTTTGAGGACGGGTGCGTGTGGTGTCGATAATGAATTTTATTACAATGAATTTGTGAGAGGACGGGGTGGCTGCTCAGTTGTTTGGCAAACATGTTCAATGTTCATGTCTTCAGTTTTCCTTGAGACTTGATACATTTGTTTTTTTTCTTATAACACTGGGGTAATTCTTTCTGCGACTAGAAGGTGCTTGAGCCTGATTTCAACTTGCCAGCAGCATCCTCTTACTTCTTACTTCTCAGATTTCCAACTCCTGCAGCCATCAGAAGCCGCTGTGACTGCACGCCACTGCCCGCCTCTCCTGCGCCACCGCCCGCCCCTCGCGCGCCACGACCACCGCCAGGCTTCCTTGGTCGACTCTGAAGGCGTCCCTGACTTGCAGTTTGGATGCGTTGAAATGAAGTGGCCGTTGCTACAAACAGACTATCACGCCGCCGTGGCAAGACGCTAAGCTGGGAGGAAGCTGGAATCGAAGGGAACGGTGGAGGGCGAGCAGGATGAGACAAAATCGAGGTGACGAAGGTGGGCTTTATAGAATGGACGTGATGGAATAGGGAACTGAAACGGTGACTGGTGTATTGGGACCATGTGAGTGGAATTTGATATAAGTTTGCTGATTAGAGTCCAGTCGAGTAGAAAGAAAAAAAAAACGAAGAGAAAATGAGATTGAAATTACCGAAGTCTCAAATCCTTAATTCCCTCTTGATGGATTGAGTGACCTCTGTTAGAACGACAATGGTGACCTGTGTGGTAAACTAGAGCGGTCTCTTGGGAGAAAAGTTCAATAATGAAATGATTGCCCTAAAACCGGGATCCTGCTCTCAACCGAACCTGCTCTTACGACATTCTCTTAAATCTTCCCGCTACCTGACACGAGACACACCACTCCGATTATCTCCGACAAGAAAGGAAGCATACCAGTCTTTTTCTACCGAGTAATTTGTCCCACTCCCCCGGCCTTATTCAGAGTTTCAGATTCAGACCTAACGACCGCCTCCCACCCATCTCCTTTCCGCTTTCGTTTCCTTGTGTCCCGGCCGGCCCGCCCCTCAGCACGCGGAGCGGTGACTTCTCTGTGAAAGGGAAACGTGAGACCGTCATTAGGATCGGGTGACCGCTGGAGAGCGGCCAGGGTGCTCGTTTCTGTCAGCTCCCACCGAAAACTGTGTCAACTCTCCGAGATTGAGGTGTGCTGGGAATGTCGTCACGCGGTTGCGACGCCACTGAGTGTGCTTTGAGAGCGCAGCTTTTGTGACAAGTGAGGGATGAAGTGTTCGGAGGCTTCTGTAGGCGAGGCGAGAAATTGGAAGATTGTGTCGAGTGTTTTTGTTGTTGATAAGAGGGAAAGGGAAGAGAGGAGCTTGGATTGTCGTCTGTCTGAACAGTCGTCTGAACAGTTTGATTTCATGATAATATCCAATAGTATTTATTTATGTAATGTGAATCATCTGCTGCCGTTACCTTTTCTGATCGATTCATGATGGGTTAGTTCCTATATGGATACGTGAAAGAGCCATTAAATATTTGTCGTTCCGGAGATTTCAGCTCTGAATTCCAATCGAACTACCCTGCATGCTGTATGGATTTGGGCGGCCGTGTTGTGATTGTTCCATCGTACGGCTGCATTATTGCGGTTTGTTGCGGCATTTTCGGGGCGACGATCGACGGTTGTAGCACGGTTCTGTGGGAAATACTGGAATATAATTGGCTGTTTTCAGTTTGAATCAGATGCTGATCGAAATAGCCTTTGAAGTTTGAATACACAGAGTACTAATGCATGCCACCAACTTAAATTAACTGCGGTTGGATTTTAGATCTTGCTGGAAATAATAGGAAGTTGAACTTTTTGCCTATCATGGTTTTTAGCTGGGCTGTGTGTGAAACAACCGGTAGGCTGAACGGTGAAAGAACTGACAAACGTTACCAACGTAAATCACCTTTGAACTGAGGAGGTATCACATATCCCCAAAATGTATAACACCCGCAAGATACGGTCTGCTACCTCACTGGACAGTTAGGTCTTGCATTGTTACCGCATGCATTCCTCGCTATATACGACGCTTAATACCAACATCTCCCCTCCCCCACAATCCCATCCAGACATCCACCCCCGCCCCTCCCCTGGGCGCACCGGGCTGAAGACAATGCCCCATCAGGTACGGTAATGTAGAGGCCATCTCTCAGGCCCCGCGGTGTAGGTGACACTGCACTGTGCAGGGGTGCAGGGGTGCAGGGTCACACCAGGCAGGGAACGTCCCTGAGAGGGTAGCTCGGTTCGGACTTCGGTGTCATTGTTATAATGAGCGGTATCATCTAATGGCTGGGAAAAGGCGACAAGCATGGCCGGTTTCGAGTGAGCTGTTTTACTGGTGACTAAGCGTGATTGCATACAGTCAGAAGCCATAGCTAAGGCAATCGAACCATTAGTTTCCAAAACGACGGAAAAATGTAGTGAGACCAGAGCGTTGTGTTAGTCCCAACATCGCTTGATATAGATAAATACTGCATTATATTAGCGTTCCAATTTTGTGTCCTCTACATCATAGCGTAGCACATAATTATCTCAAACACTATGGCTGAGGCTCGGAATGTCAAAGTTTATGTTTCCAGAAAACTCGCCATTGAATATTTCGTAGCACCATGTCAAAAATGCCACTTAAAGGAAAAGTGCCACCTTCGTGAAATATGAAGATATCGTTGCTTTTCATTTTGACATTATTATTTTTCATGTTCTTTTTAAATCTGGTGCCAGAAGTGCATAATTCGTAAAAAAGTATGTCAAACTATTTAACATATTGGTACTATGTTTGTACTCTCTACCGCACCTTCTGTATGATGTCATAGCGATGACATCACACTCAAGCCAATCAGCCTTCAGAAGACAGTCTCGTCGGCTTGTCGGCTCGTCGGCTCGGCTTTCCCTCTGCCATAAACACTGACATTAGGAAGCGCTCGTTCTCTCAAAGATGTATTTCTGTATGGAATGCCCTCCCCGCTCAAACTGTGTGTGCTCACGATGTCAACACGTTTAAATCTATGTTAGATCGCGATATCAATGATGCGTTGTACTCTTACCCAATGTGAAAGCTCTACTTACACTAAGAACTAGGACAGTTCCAAACATTTCTCCATGCTGAACTTTTGTGCATTAAGTAATTACTTCCTGTAAATCTGTGAAGGAGACTCACTTCTCCAGTCAGTTTGTACATATATAATCTACAGCACAAACTTCCTACTGACTGGCGCGTCTCTTAAATGCAGGGTTCCTTGTACCTTCCTCTCTCACTTTCTCCACCACTTTCCTCCCCGGACGCAAAAGGAACCCAACCAGGTAAGTCAACCAGGTAAGTTGTGTCAGATTAGCTGATTGGTTAAAGCTGAGCTGATTGGAGCTGATTGGTTAAAAACCAAAGCCTCGCCGCGGGTGGCTGTATTACAGGATAAGAACGCATTCCTGGGATAAGGACGCATTCCTGGCATATTTTCTTTTAAAATTGCCGATACCTACAAATGGAGGCCGAAATCGGCCGTAAGGTGGGGCACTCTCGGGGTTTTCGGACACGGGCTACAAGATGGCCATCTCAGTTTCAAACCCCATGTTAAAGGTGACCCTTTTCCTTTAAAGGCTCTGCTAATCGTACACCACCGGTCGTTGTTTGGCATCTTTCCCGTTTTTAACCGCAAACGGTCCCAACATCTGATATTCCCGACTGCTAGTCACTACTTAAAATCCCAACAACGGCATCGCTGCTCGGTAAATCCATACCGTAACGGTTGTGGGTCAGTGGGATTTGGAGGGTCATTGGTCGATTGAAGAGCCGATGCGGTTGATTGGATAGGTTGTTGACCGATTGGAATAGGCATTGGACGATTGGCAGAGTCATCAAACTGATGTCTCTTATTTTCTGACGAAAAAACACAATAGAAACTGAAAATATGCTAAACCAGCTTTACGACCATGTGCCAGGCAATGTTTTTACGAATAAAGAACTTGGGTCAAGGATGGCGTAGAAGTAAGACTTTTGGACTCTCTTTGCTTTCTTTCACATTGGTGGTATTCGTGGCGCCAAGTTTAGTACCCACTACCCAATGTTTTAAAATGCCGTAGAATTGAAAGCACGGCAATGTGTTCCAACGTAAGACCAGCGTTCGCAGAACCGCAGGTGACTATATGTAGCCGCAATGTGTTCAAACGCAGGACCAGCCGTTCGCGGTCACTGCTGACGCAGCTTACCGCTGCAAGTGTCACCGGTCCCTGCGTCCCGTCAGCGCCGGGGATTAGCGGACCTTTACGACCGCTGTTAACGGCTAGATTAATTTCTGACACATCTAACGGCCGCGCCAGTCGTCACTGTCGTCGGCGAGAGGAACGATGACCGGCGGCGAGATGGATGGCGTGTTCAATCGCGCTGCGTTTTAGAGGGACTGTGGTGGAGAACTCGGCCTGCGTAGGAGCCTCTCTCTTGGATTTTAGCTAGCACAGAAAGGTGGCTGATAAGCTGGTCGGTCGAGCTGGTGTTTGTTTGAAAGTACGAGCGTGCAGTGATATGTTCTGACCGAAAGTTCCCAAACATGAACAACCTTATCCCGTGTCAGCCCAAAGTCTTTGGGAAGGTTTATGTGTTCCACGCTTATTATTTTTAGATACTTGACCCATACATACTTTAAAAAGCGGACGCTCTCAGATGAAATGCAATTCATTCATCAGACGTTCGATATTTAGCACTCTTCCTGGCCTGCCTATCATAGTGTGAACTGTGTGATGTCACCAATTAAGCGTCTAACCACCGTTTTCTCTGCGTTCCAGCTGGCTTTCGGCGCAATGCTGGCGGGTGACTCGACGCCAAAGCATCCGGACAGGACACCCCGGCGGTCGCTCTCCCCCACCAAAGCTCGTGGAGTAGTGTTCCGTGAACATGCTGAAGTGAAGGTGCCCGAACCTCACTCCCCACGTGAGGTGGGTGCGATGTCGAGGACGCGAGGTCCGGCCGCGAAAAGTGGTGATAACTTAGTGGTGAAAGTTGGTAGCCCAGGAGTGACTAGTGGTAAAAGAGTGCCGATGAAAGAACGTGTAATAGTGGGAGAGCATCATGTGGTGGCAGATCAGATTCTTCTACCGGACCAGCAGTATGAAGAAGCAGGTTCAGCTCCATCATCCTCTCAAGCAACTTCTCTGCCACCGTCTTCATCACCTTCAGGAGATACACATGCAACTTCGTCAGCAGCAAGGAAACCAGCTCCAGAGAAAGTGTCAGGGGAGGCAGGATCAGGAGCGACACGTCAGCCTTCTCCAGAGCGACGGCGCGTCTCGTCGCAGGAGCGTCATGTTCGTCGCCAAATGCGTCACATGCTCTGGTGTCGAGAACTTCTACGGACGTTCCGGGCTAGACCAGAGTTCTTTTGTCAGTTCCGCGGTGGAGTTGGTGGTGGTGGGACACCGTGCTGGTTATCTTTTCAATCTCACGAAGACCCCGCTCCTACCACCCGCAAGCGTCGGCAATCGGCCGAGGAGCCGGCGCCGCCCTCGCCGCCTCCGGCTGCCGCGCCGGTCACCGCCCGGGGTCAGCTGCGCATGGTCAGGTCAAGGTCAACGCCGGACCTGCGACGACTGAGCACGGGTCGGCGCAGCGGCGACTCGGCGTTCTCCGAGCTGGGAGCAGAGTCTGACAGTCCTCAGGCGTCCAACGACAGCGGAAACCCGGAAACAGGTGGGTGCGGGACGCCGCCGAACGTTAGCTCAACTCACGTCATTTAGCTCAAATCAGCTCACGTATTTTAGGCTTCCAGAACAAGTTAGGCGCTACCACTCCTCAGGTCATGTATTTAATACTTTTAGAACAAGCCAACCAGTAACACAACTCAACTCATGCATTTTTGATTTTAGTGTCCTAAAGCAAGCCAGCTCGTAACACGGCTCAACCCATGTGTTTTAGTCTTCTAGAGTAAACCAGCCAGCAACACAACTCAACTCTCGTTGAGCAGTACAGCTCGACCTTGAGCAATGTATAGAGTAAGGCAGGCAGTAACACAGCTCAAGTTATGTATTTTAGAGGTATAGAGCAAACTAGCAGTTTCCCTTTCCCCGATCCCTATTCCCAGTCACGTTGCCCTGGGCCGGTTTCAAGGATGTTCACATGTGTGTTCCAATAGGTTTTCCCATGTGAGCTCCCAATGGTACCCCTAGGGCGATCCCATAGGGCTGCCCAATGGTTTTGTTCTCATGCATGATTGCTGAGTGTTTACCAACGTTTTCCCATATGAAAACCGACAGTTTACACTCTCTGCGGTATCGAGGGGAATGAAGTGATTACTTTTGTAGGTCATTTCTGAGTCTGGACATTATGGCCGGGATTATGATCATCATTGGCATCTTATTATCTAACTACTGAAGGGAAAACATTTTTTTTTATGACTTAACCGCTATTTCTAAACACTGTGTGGTTGAGCCTTTCTAACATGTCGAGACGCGCTGCATATTATACAGCTCTCCGGGCTGAGAAGAGGTATTGACAATGGTGATGTTGGTTTTAACCAGAATAGAGTAGCTGCCAGAGGTCCAATCTATTGATCGCTGCCGCCCGCAATTTATCTTTCTTATAACTACATACACCACTTTGAACAAAATAGCATATTGATTTACTATCACATTTGTTCAGCTAATTTTAGGTAAAATCAGCTGTTGGTGATCGAGTGACCTGTGTCCCGTGATCTGTTCGACAATAGACTATGTCCATCGTCTATCCACAGTCCACCGTCCACCAACGTCTCTCCCCCGAACACATCTTCTCCAAAATCAGCCCGTCAGCCATATTTTCGTGGAGCCGATTCTATCTGAGTTCGACCGTCTCCAAATGACAGTACGCGCGGGTCGCTGGTCGCTAGACCAGAACGATTCAAGGTGCATAGCTATGCCAGATGTCACCAAATGAAAGGTCACGCAGTGACTGGTCTGATCTTCGGTCGGTGATGGGACGGTGACTGATGAGGGGTCAGGGATGAGCGGTGATGGCTGTTTTGTCGAAAAGATCTCGAGAGATGGGAGATCGTGGAATGATGCGTGAGATATGCGGTTGATGCTGGGACAGAGTACTGTAGGAAATGTGGCAGTGCGCTTTCTTGCAAGAACAATTCCTTTACTATAGTGATGGACCTGTGTTCTAATGCATTTATGAGATATTGTTTTAAACATTTAGCTATAAACTGAAAAGAGAGTAGACGGGAGCTTCAGATACGATATAGATACCTTATTGTTCATGCATCGCTTTCCGTCAAACAGCCGAGATATACGTGTATGTAGACTAGACATTATGCAACCCTTTGCTACTAACTATAGCAACCCTTACATTCGATTCCGGACTGGTGCGATACCGTTGGTCTTCACCAAGGTCAGGTCAGTGACCCGTATCTAACCACTGACAGCATGACACTGCCTGATTGATGAAACTGACACGAGTCTAACTGATCACCGTCCAGCCGCCTTGAGCGGGGATGGGCTCAATCTGTCCATCACCACACATTGGCTGTCAACTCGAGACGGATATCGCTGGTAATCGCTCCTCCAGACGACATCGTATCTCCTCCTGAAGTGATCAAATTTGGGCAGGCGTCTGCCGATTTGGCGCTGCACTGGGAGATTGGTCATCTCGGGAGGAACAATGACGTCATGGGGGTCGATGCTCGGCTATGTCTGACGTCATATGTATGAGGTCAACACTGGGTGTGAGATCACGTGACGTCTTAATATAGTATTAGGTAGGCGTTTGGTGTTAATCTAAAACCACAACTAATGCGCTGCATTCAACCTTTATCACACCTATTCACATCACATTTATTCGAGCTAACTTCGTCTGCTTTTGCACGAATGCTGCTCTTGAACGCTCATGAAAGGCTGAAAGGCTCATGTTGCTCTTGAAGCCAACTAAAGCTATTCAAGCTGCGATAACGTTGCTACCTATAACTTCCCTTACCTGTCACTTCTCGACGAACTCTGACGTCACTCACCGATATGAGGTCATTCGCCGGCCGTATGTGACGTCAGCAAATCTCCAACGCTGGAATCGGACGTCAGTCAGAACATCTCTCCATAGACGGGAATGTGTAGCTGTATGGAGATAAATGTGGCTTTGCGAACCGTGACAGGTCCTTCAATAGCGCAGCTGACGGGCCTAGCTGCTCCGTTCAGCCGGGGTCAAACGGGTCTCCGAAACATGGTGGTTTTGTGCGTAATGTGGAAAGAAAGGATTTGGGTGATGGTGTTGAAGACAAGACGAAATTCATTCCGTTATACCAACGGTATTTTCTGTAAGTGGGATGTGTTAGAATCCCATTGACATCATTGAGACACATCTCTTCAGGTAGTCTTTCGAGAAGTGTTACTTGATTCCCATGTTCCTCCTCCCCTTCCAACGAGCTGGGTGCGTACCCTCTGACCCCTTCCTCGTGCCTTCTCTTCTCATTCCCCACACCACACGATCCTGTCCAGCCGTCCATCTCAAAAGGAGGTGCCGAGAGATACCGGTATCCCCCATTCTAAAGTCACCTATCCGGCCCGGCGATTGTCCGTCTTGATAAGGCGTCGGCTGCATATCGGTAGTGAGTTCCGCTCTGTCGAATCTGCTCAGCAGGGGGAGCATAGAGGTGTGTCAACAGGTGTCTGTGTCGTGTTTTGGCGGTGTCAGTCTGTGTCAGTGTTGTGTTTCGGTTGTGCCATTGCTTGGTCAGTGCCGTGTTTTGGCCATGTTATTGCTGTGTCAGTGTCAATCAGTATTGCGTCATTGTCAATGTTATGCAGTGGCAATGCATTGCAGCATCGTTTCAGTGTCGTGCAAATACCGTCCACGTGTCTGTGTCATGTATTCAATTCCGTGTCGGCAATGCTATGTAGTTGGGCAATGCGTCTCACGGCAGGAAATGAGATCACGATACACACGACGGGGTGCAAATGAAGTCACTTTGCTTCACAAGACTTCGTGATGCCTACAATAAATATACATTAGACCAGTAGCTTTGGCGTTCCGGCTTCATCTTTTCCACAAGTCAATTTCACCACCATCAAATGCCTCACCTAAAATATTTCAGTCCCTGAATAATTGACAGGTGTCTTTTAGCATACACAAATCAGACACAGATCTAGCTGTGATAGGAACCATTCCGCTCCACGATAACCTGTCTAACTACTAATCAGCTGAAGAAAACCACCCGGCTCCTTCAGATTCTGGTGATGCTTGTCGCGGCGCGTTGTCGTGTCATTTTTAACGCCCCAGTGAACTGAGACTGACCTAAAACGTCTCGCAGTCTGTTGGGCAGTGGCTACGTTTGTTCATTTACTTAGCCGTCAATGAGATGTCTTTAGATATTCGTCTTACGCTTAGGTGATTTAGATAAATTGATGGCTGCTTACTGTGTTACTAGGGTACTATTAAACAAATCAAATGTATTTAGTTTAGACAGCTATTGGGGCAACCATTTTGTACAGAGACTGTCCTAGCCTATCAGAGAAAGTCTAAACAGCTTTTCAAATGCCACTACTTCTCCACGTGGTGTGGCTCAGTTGACAGATAAGTCAAGTCCGATAGTTGGGTCAGGAGGCAGTTGGATAAACTGACAGCTGGGTCGTCCGACGGTTGCGTCTGGTGGTAGCTGGGCCGGCTGACAATGCATCCAACAGTTGGGTCGGTGGCTGCTGGCCCAATCGACAGTTGGCTTCACTGTCGTCTGCCTTAGTCGACAGTTGGCTCGGCTGTTGTGTCTACCATACCGTGACGAAGGGTAACAAAACTGTTCTGCCGGCCTACCGTGACAGAACCGTGACTCGGTATCGTGTCTATCTTTTGGTTGAGACTGCGTCTCGACAGCTGGTCGGCACACTGACATATTTTCTGCCGGCCGAGATCGGGTGAGAAAACGGAACTTCTTCGCGTGAAGAGATGAAGTGTTTCTGTGGATAGCTGTTCACTGACGCAAATATGAGGTTCTTATTGCTGCTGATAAAACAAAACACTAATTAATTTGCTTTTTATTTTCTGCAGTATACCGTCGGAAAGTCACCAATTCAAGGCCCCAAATACAACCAATCCTTTTCTACAAACTCCATCAAGTCCAGCTACTGTAAATTGCTGGTGATCGCTGGTAACATTGCAAAAATGGCAAAAAATGGCACGCTCAGCATGCTGCCGAAACAGCTCGTGACTTACAAAATATCCGTACTTCCGCTTCAATTTGCACCCTATCTCCCGTGACCACCTCCTACGTCGATGAGTTTCGTCGCTCTTGATTGCATCACGTCCTATCTTGTCTCCTTTGGTGTAACGGAAAACTAAAGGCTTTTCGTGTTAGCAGTGGGGGCGTCAAAAAGGAGCGATTGTGAATCGTGACACGATGTCGTGACTCGTGAGGCGTTGTCGTGATGTCGCATGCCGTGCTATGATGTTCAAGTGTTGCCTAGACTCTGCTCCATGATGGAGCGGATGGAACGAGAAAAAGAATGGTATGCGTTGCGTCATTGTGCACTACACAAAAACTGACGTAGTGAAGTTGGCAAGCAGCAAACCATGTCGATTTAAACTTTTATCAAATTATGAAGGATTTGCTGCATTGTATTTACCATAGTTATACCATACCAGGGCCCAATCTTACCAAATGCCGTGAATGCGCATTCACGGCATTTGGTAACATTCAGAACTATTCCGCATTCACTTATTCATTCGTT